TGTCTATGTGTCTCTTTGTCCATCTATCTGTCGATCCTCTGTCTGTCTCTCTGTCTATCTATCTATCTGTCTGCTTCTCTCTCTCTCTGTCTGTCTGTCTATCTATCTATCTGTCTGTCTCTCTGTCTGTCTATCTATCTATCTGTCTCTCTGTCTGTCTGTCTATCTATCTATCTATCTGTCTCTCTGTCTGTCTGTCTATCTATCTATCTATCTATCTATCTATCTGTCTCTCTGTCTGTCTATCTATCTGTCTCTCTGTCTGTCTATCTATCTATCTATCTATCTATCTATCTGTCTGTCTGTCTATCTGTCTGTCTGCTTCTCTCTCTGTCTGTCTGTCTATCTATCTGTCTCTCTCTGTCTGTCTGATTCTCTGTCTGTCTGTCTGTCTGTCTCTCTGTCTGTCTGTCTGACTCTCTGTCTGTCGGTCTGTCTGTCGATCGATAGTTGTGATCAAATTACAGACCGCGCAGGCTGGGAGAACACAGGATGCAACTAAGAGAGGAGAAGGGAGAGCTCTGCAGCTTCTGCTTCAGACTCCCATCAGGGTCAGCCAGCCCCAGGAAGTCAACACCCTGCAGCCAAAAGGTATGGAAGCTGGGGGGTGATTAACAATATGTTAACTGCAATGTGTGTGTGCCATGACCTAACTAACACTCGTTGTTTCATTTCACTTCATACAATTTGATCAAAGCACAGGTTTTAGTGAAGACTATTACCTCTCCGTTTTAGTTACATATCAATGTTCTATGTATCATCTGGGATGGGATAGGATACATCTAACGTAAAAAACAATATGGTTTTAATATGCCTTTACACCAAATGTGCTTTCTTCCTCTGGAGCATATAACATCACTATAATGACACCGTGACACGTGGTCAAGCACTAGGTAAATTGGGAAATTTAGTTATCTAACGCTTGACCACGTGGCGCGGCCTGATAGCCAAGATGGCCACGGATCACGTGATCGTTTTATTTATCATTTTCTAACAGTTTTAACTTGTTTTACACCCTTAGCATTATATATATATATATATATATATATATCCTTCTAATAAGTCTAAATTAATATTTTAAAAATGTTAAAACTTTTGTTATGACCCCATTTGGGTGCAAAATTTGAATCTGTTATGCCTGTATATAAACCCTTGCTTGTCAGGTCAGTCTTTTTTATCTCCACTTGATAAAGCCTTGAAGGTGAAACGCATTGTGGATTTAATATTGTTAGTGTGCCATTTTACTCTTTTATTATTTTATACTTTTACTTCTCTACTGTATGGCATACGATCTTATTTGTTCCAGTGAGAACTACTCTAAAGAATCCTAGGCTGGGATTTTACCACTCACGCACTACCCATTGAGCAGTTTGTCTGCTCAACCAAATGTGAGTACCCAATTATATTTCTACACTCCTGA